TCTCTCACACACACAATCTCTCACACACACAATCTCTCACACACACACATACTCTCTCACATGCACATGCACAGACACACTCTCTCTCTCACACACACACATACACAATCTCTCTCTCACACACAATCTCTCACACACTCTCTCTCTCACACACACTCTCTCGCTCCCTCTCTCTCACACACACTTTCTCTTTCTCTCTCTCTCACACACACGCACTCTGTCTCTGTCTCTCTCACACACACACTCTCTCGCTCCCTCTCTCTCTCTCACTTTCTCTTTCTGTCTCTCACACACATGCACTCTCTCTCTCACACACACGCACACTCTCTCTCTCTCAAACACACACACACTCTCTCTCTTTCCCTCTCTCTCTCTCTCACACACACACACACACACTCTCTCTCTCACGCACACGCACACACACGCACACACTCTCTCACACACTCACTCTCTCTCTCTCTCTCACACACACTCTCACACACAGATGCACACGCACACTCTCTCACTCTCTCACACACACACAATCTCTCTCAATCTCTCTCTCTCACACACACACTCTCTCGCTCCCTCGCTCTCTCTCACAGACTCTCTCCTTCTCTCTCTCTCTCACACACACACACACACTCTCTCTCTTTCACTCTTTCTTACTCACACACACACACACACACACTCTCACACACAAACACACTCTCTCGCACACACGCACACACACACACTCTCTCGCACACACACACAGACACACACACACACCCATACAGACACACACACACACCCATACAGATACACACACACACACACACACACACCCATACAGATACACACCCATACAGACACACACACACACCCATACAGATACACACCCATACAGATACACACACACCCACACACACACACACCCACCCATACAGATACACACCCATACAGACACACACACACACCCATACAGACACACACCCACACCCATACAGATACACACACATACACCCAGACACACACACCTGCACAGAGACACATTAGCACACACACGTAGATTCATATGCACATGCATACATCCAAATGCATGAACACACGTGCACACAGACACACATGTAAATGTACTGTCAAACATGTCTGCACACAAGCACACCCTCTAGGTACAAGCCTTCCTCTGCCTGTGCAATGGAGCGCATGGACTTTGGACCCTGTTGCATGTGAGCAACTGCCCCCTTGTGGCTGCTCGTTGCTACATGCTGTTGTGTGGCCCTACATCTAGAAACATCTCAGCGGGGGTTAGTGAATGGTGGTGAGTGGCAGGACTGTTACCCCCGTTCTCCACCCCCGCTGCTGGGCTCCCCCCACCCCCCACCCTGCCCTCACCAAACAGGGACGCACTGGGTTCTGGGCCGTGACTCCTGGCTGATTGAAGAGTGACCGTCTCCTCCTCCTCCCTGCAGTCCTTCCTGCCAGCTGGGATTGACCTCATGAACCACGAGTTTGAGCGAATTGGGCGCCTGCAGTACAAGGATGGGCTGAACCTGGAGCAGGCGAAGGTGGGCTGGTTTGCGCTGGTGAGCTCCACGCTCTTTGCCTGGTTCCAGGACTCAGACAAGGAGGAAGCCATTAACCTACAGAAGCTGCAGGAGTTGTGTAAGACCATGCCTTCTGTTTTCACCGTGTGTTCACCGCTTCCATTCCCTCCACCTCCATTCCCCTCTCCTGTTCCTCCCAAACCCTTCGCCCCCTTCACTGGGTCTCTTAGTTATTAGGGGTAAAGGAATCACGGGGTACGGGGATAAAGTAGGGACAGGGGACTGAGCTGGATGAGAATGGTGGTGCAGGCTCAAAGGGCTGAATGGCCTACTCCTGTTATTTTTGATCTCCAGTCGTATTGCTTGCTCCTGGTCATCTCGCTGCAGCCTGGACCGAGCAATTCTGGAGAGTCAGGGAAGGGAGATAGTAGGAACTGCAGATGCTGGAGAATCCGAGACAACAAGTTGCAGGGCTGGATGAACACAACAGGCCAAGCAGCATCATAGGAGCAGTAAGGCTGACGTTTCGGGCCTAGAGCCTTCATCAGTCAGGGAAGGGACATTGTTCAATACAACCTCAGGATTTCCCATTCACGTCCCACCCACCTTCAAAATGTCGTTTCATGCCCAAGACTTGGGTGGGGCCGGGGGTTTGCACAAGCACCAAACTGCACACTGGCAGCAGGTAATCAGGAAGGGTCATGGAATGTTGGCCCTTATTTCAGGGGGTTGGAGTGTGAGACTATGGAAGTCTTACTGCAACTGTACAAGGTGCTGGGGAGACCACATCTGGAGCACTGTGAACAGTTTTGGTTCCCCTTGTTTAAGGAATGATATCATTTCATTGGAGGCAGTTCAGAGAATGTTCACTGGGATGATCCCTGGTAGGGAGGGATTGTCTCACGAGCAAAGGCTAAACAGGTTGGGACTATACTCACTGGAGTTTAGAAGAATGAGAGGCGATCTCATTGAAACACCTAGGATTCTTAAGGGGCCTGACAGGGTAAATGCTGAGAGACTGTTTCCCCTCATGGCAGAGTCTAGGATCAGGGGCATAGTCTCTGAATTAAGGGGCACCAATATAAGACTGAGAGGAGGAGGGATTTCTTCTCTGAGTGTTGTGAATCCTTGGAACTCCTTGCCACAGAGAGCTGTGGGGGCAGAGTCCTTGTGTATATTTTAAGGCTGAGACAGATTCTTGATCAGTCAGGAATCAAGGATTACAGGGAAAGGGCAGGAAAGTGGATGTGAGGAATGTCAGATCAGCCATGATCCTATTCAATGGTGGAGCAGGCTCGAGGGGCTGAATGGCCTATTCCTGTTCCTATTTCTCATGGTCTGTCTATTCCAATTACCCCATGGATCACAAATTTAAATAAAAGCTACTTTTTGCAGTTACTGAGGTGACCAGTGAAATACCTAAACACCTTTATTAACAAAGGAAACCTTAATAAAGATGCAGTAATTGCTTAACTTACATAGTTAGTAATAAATGCTCGTCCCTGTAAATAACCCCAAAATGCACACCTACATTCTCTCACACACACTAGCACACCTACTTTCGCGCGCACAGACACACACACACAGACACACACACACAGACACACACACACAGACACACACACACAGACACACACACACAGACACGCTCACAGACACACACACAGATGCACACAGTCACACAGGCACAGACACACCTACACGCACACAGTCACACACACACACACAGACGCACGCACACAGTCACACATGCACACAGCCACACACACACAGACACACACGCGCATACACAGACGTACACACACACACACACAGACGCACAGACACACACACACACACACACACATGCACACAGTCACACACACACAGACACAGACCCACACACAGACGCGCGCACACACCCTCTCACAAACAGACACACTCATTCTCTCACACACACACACACACACACACACAGACACACACACACACACACGCGCGCACACGCACACACACAGACACACACGCGCGCACACGCACACACACAGACATGCACACACACAAACACACACACACACACAGACGGACACACACACACACACACACACACACACAGAGACAGACACACACCCTAGCACACCAACATTCGCGCACACACAGAAGCACTGGTACACACAAATACATCCACGCAAGTACACGTGCACATACACACATACTCGCAAGTACATGTCGAGGCCAGACTCGGGGAGGATCCTTTGGCCCTCTCCTTGTACCAGCCGGTTTCTGCTTGAATAAACATCTTCCAGTTGCCTGAACCCTGCCTGCCTCCTGGGTCTTTGTCCCCGGTCGGGGTGGGGGAGTAGGAATGTTCCTGCTGGTCCGTCGGGGGAGCTTAGGGTGTAAAATTCAAGGCCATGGGATTGGGTGTAATATACTGAAACGGATAGAGAACTGACTGGCAGACAGGAATCAAAGACTGGGGATAGATGGGTCTCTTTCCCAGGGGTTAGCCCGTGGCTAGAGGTGGGGGGCCTCAGGGTCAGTGAGAGAACACCAGCTTTCACAGCATAATATCAATGATTTCCTTCCGCAAACTGTAGCTCCCCTATTGTGTTGGCATTGGGAATGTCTTCTGCATGGGAAGATCCCACAAACAGCAAGGTGACGAGGGTCCGAGAGCCTGTTTCATTTGTTGACAGGCCTTGCGGACCCCGGGGTGGGGGGGGCGGTGGCAGGCGGAATATGCCCCGGTTCTTCCTCTGAAAGGTGTGCCTGTGGGATCTTCCCCTCCCAGTTGAAGGGGGGCAGGCAGCAGATCGGTTTGATGATGGATGTTATTGAAATGTGATGTGACCAGACGAAGTAGCGAGGGGTGGGGGCATTAATGATTTTGTGATTTTTTTTTTACAGCAGAGCAGTCTGACCACGATGTCCTTGTCCTGGTGGAGAAGAGAAGGTAAGACCCAGTCAGGGGGAGGAGCAGAGCAGACCATTCGGCCCTTCAGCCCTGCACTGCTGGTCAACACAATCATGGAGCATCCCACTGTGGCCTGGTCTCTGTTTTCCTCTCAGTCCCCAGCCCCCTCCCCCATCATCCTTGCTTCCTTCTGTCGGTGAAAACTGTGCTGAACCCTGGCTTGACTATATTCCGTGACCCAGCGTCTACCTGCTCACAGACTGACCATCCTCACAGAGAAAATAACGCGCTTTTATTTCCTTCGTTTGTCCTGAAGAAACATTGGACTTGACTCAAAACATTAACTCTGTTTCTCTCTCCACACATGCTGCCTGACCTGCTGAGTTTCTCCAGCACTTTTTCCCTCTACGCCCATCGTCAATGGGAGACCCTCAGTTTTAAAACTTGGCTCCCTCGGTGCTGACCCTCCGACAGTGCGGTTCTCCCTCAGCACTGACCCTCCGACAGTGCGGCGCTCCCTCAGCACTGACCTTCCGACAGTGCGGCGCTCCCTCAGCACTGACCCTCCGACAGTGCGGTGCTCCCTCAGCACTGACCCTCCGACAGTGCGGCGCTCCCTCAGCACTGACCCTCTGACAGTGCGGCGCTCCCTCAGCACTGACCCTCCGACAGTGCGGCGCCCCCTCAGCACTGACCCTCCGACAGTGCGGCGCTCCCTCGGTGCTCTGTGTGAGGGTGAGGTTTGATGTTTGTGATGTTGGGGGGGTGGGAGCCTCGTTAGTGCAATGTGACGTGGAATATAGTGACACGTGATAATAATGAGCCTTTGGTGCTGCTGTGTCACACTGTGACCTCCCCTCCCTGCTGCAGGACTCTGTACATCCAGGCCGTGAGGAAACTGGACTTTATTGGTTGGAATAGCTCGATCCAACGCGCTGCGGCCAGTGCAGGTAACACTCTGTCCGAGCAGCAGCTGACGGATGAAGATATCCCTGTCGTTGTGGATCGATGTATTGCCTACATTACACAGTACGGTGAGTCAGCTCCCCACATGGACTGTGCCAGGCCAGCTCTGTTGGCTTGGTTTGGTGGGGGGTGGGGATAATGTAACCCCCTTAGCGTTTATCCTCGGCACGTGGTCCTAGCATCTATCCCAGGGAATGAGGCAATCTGGTGTTGCAGTGGGGATTTTGGAAATAGTTGCACATGAGAGCTATTTGGCCTTTCGAGCCCGCTCTGTTGTTCAATAAGGTCATGGTTGAGCTTTTACTTCAACACCATCTCTCCACATTGTCCTTCAATCTCTTTAAACACCACCACATTCTGCAATTTCCCCCTCCAAGCCACTCACCATCCTGACTTGGAAATATATCACCGTTCCTTCACTGTCCCTGGGTCAAAATCCTGGAATTCCCTCCCTGAGGGCATTGTGGGTCAACCCACTGCACACGGCTCAAGAAGGCAGCTCACCCCCACCTTCTCAAGGGGGGCAACTAGGGACAGGCAATAAATACTGGGCCCAGCCAGCGAACCCCACATCCCACATATGAATTAAAAATGTCGAAGCATCCATCAGTTTCTGCCTTGAACCTGCTCAATGAGTGAGTTTCCATCAGACCCCTGGGGGAGAGAATCTCAGAGATTCTGCAGCCTCTGAGTGAAGACATTCTTCCTCATCCCAGTCATTGCCAACATACAACGGCCTTAGGAGCAGGCCGCTCAGCCCTGGAGCCTGCTTCACTTTTCATGAGGATCCAGGCTGACCTGATGTCTCCATGTTCCTGCCTACCCTGATGACCTTTCACCCCTCCCCTTCCTGATCAAACCGCTTTCCAGCTTCGCTTGAAAATGTTTTCAAGGATTGTGCTGTCAGTCTCTTTTCAGGAAGAGACTTCCAAGATTCGCGAACCCCTTCGAGAAAGTTTCTTGCCTTATCGCTGTCTTTGATCAGAGAACACTGTTTTTTAAACCCATTTTTCTTTATTCACTCATGGAATGTGGGTGTCTCTTGGGGGCTAGGCCCAGCATTTACTGCGCACCCTTAACTGCTCAGAGGGCAGGTAACAACCAACCACATTGCTGTGGGTCTGGAGTCACACATAAAGCAGACCCAGTAAGGATGGCACATATCACCCCACCAACCTCCGTATCCAATGCATCATTCTCCTCCACTTCCGCCACCTGCAATCCAACCCCACAGCCAAAGATATATTTCCCTCTCCATCCCTATCCGCCTTTCGCTCTCTCCGGGACTCCCTCGTCCGCTCCACCCTCCCCTTCAGCCCCACCACCCCCGGCACTTTTCCCTGCAACCGCAGGAAGTGCTACACCTGCCCCCATACCTCCTCCCTCACCCCCATCCCAGGCCCCAAGAAAACCTTCCACATCAAGCAGATGTTCACCTGCACATCTGCTAATGTGGTATACTGTATCCGCTGTTACTGATCTAGCCTCCCTTACATCGGGGAAACCAAGCGGAGTCTCGGAGACCGCTTCGTGGAACACCTACGTTCGGTTCGTGACAAACAACTGCTCCTCTGATGCTACTTGGCCTGCTGTGTTCATCCAGCTCTACACCTTGTTATCTCAGATTCTCCAGCATCTGCAGTTCCTACTATCTCTGAAGGATGGCAGTTTCCTTCCCTAAAGGGCATTTTGAACCAGATAGGTTTTTCCCTCAACAAATGGTAATGGATCCATGGCCATCATTAGACTCTTAATCCCAGATTTTTTTTTTAATTATTGAATTCAAATTCCACCATCTGCCACGGCGGGATTCGAACCCAGGTCCCCGGAACATTATCTGGGTCTCTGGATTAACAGTCCAGCGATAATACCAATAGGCCATCGCATCCCCATTTATGACAGAGATGAGGAGAAATTTCTTTTCTCAAAGGGGAGTGAATCTGTGGAATTCTTTACCTCAGAGGGCTGTCGAGGGTGGGTCATTCAGTATATTCAGGGCTGAGAGAGATTTTTAATCAGGAAGAGAATTGAGGATTATGGGGAAAAGGCAGGAAAGTGGAGTTGAGGGTTATCAAATCAACCACAATCTCATTGAATGCCAGAGAAGACTCGACGGGCTGAATGGCCTACATTTGCTCCTACATCTTTTATATTCTTTATAGAGTCATACAGCATGGAAACAGACACTTTGGTCCAACCAGTCCATGCGACCATAATCCCAAACTAAACTAATCCCAACTGTCTGCGCATGGCCCTTATCCTTCCAAACATTTCTTATTCATGTTCTTGCCCAAATATCTTTTAAGCATTGTAACTGCAGAGCCCTCATTTTAGATTCTTCCACAAGAGGAAACATTACCTCCGCACTGACCTGGTCGAGTCCCCTCAGAATCATGTGTGTTTCTCACTGAGACCTCCGACTCGTTGGATCTTGTAATTGCTCTCGAAAAGTTAACTCTGCTTTCTGTTTCTCCACAGGTGCTGCTGAGTTTCTCCAGCACTTTCTGTTTTAAATCTAAACCTGTCCGGTATTCCGAGCCCGTTGACCCCAGGTCTCGACCCCCACCCTCAGAGAGCAAGTGCCCTGCCTCTGAGACAGCAACTCCCAGTTCGAGCCCTGCTCCAGGACTCGATGGTCACTGATGGTGTGATCACGATGTGGCCACAGCAGGCTTAGTGCCAACTTGTAATCAGAGTCTCATCGAGATCCACAGCACCAGGGAGACAGACCCTTCAGCCCCATCGTGTCCAAGTCAGTCAACAAACATCCACCTAACCATTGTAATCCCTGCAGCACACGCCATTGGCAAATGGAAAGATGGTAAGGTTCATCTTGTTGGATCCAGAGTGACTACAACCCTCCGACAACAGTCCAGACCTCTAAGATGGGAGGTCCTGCTGGACCTGACTCTTGGGCTCGAGATGGACCAAGTTGGACAGATGTCAACAGGAAGACATTTGTTGGGGAGTGGGGGGCAGTGATCACCATTTTGTTAGGATGACAGTGGAAAAGGACAAAGGAAAATCCCGAGTAAGAATAATTAGGTCAGAGAGAGGGGGCTTCAATTGGGAAAGGAACGAGCTGGGCTGGACAGACGGTATCCAATGTTTGGCAGTCCCTCAGACAGGAGATCAGTCACGGTGTAGTCCTCCTGATAGGGTGTCGGGTAGAAAATACAACTGAGAACTGAGAGGAACGCAGGAAGGAGGTGATGAAGTAAATGAGAGAAGCAAAGACGGGTTTAGGAGGAGAGACTGGCAGCTAACTTCACTGAGAATCCCAAAATCTTCTCTTGGCACGGAAACAGTACGCAGTGGTAAAAGTAGGAGGAGGGCCAATCACGGGCCAAAATGGGGATTTACAGATGGAGGCAGGGGACATTACTTGGGGAGGGCGCGGGGGGGTTTAATTGAATGCTTTTTGCATCTATCTTTACCAACGGGGCAGGAGCTGCCCAGAGGAGGAAGTAGCAGAGGAGGAAGGGGAGTCCCTAGAAGGGTTTAAAATCAATAAGGAAGTGGGATTGGATAATATATAAACAAAGAATCAGGAGTTAGGCCATTCAGCCCTTCAAGCCTGCTCCACCATTCTACATGATCATGGCTGATCAGTCCACATTCTGTTTTTCTCCCCACACCATCTGATCCCTTTAGATCTAGGAACTATCTCTAACTCCTTCTTGAAAACATTCAATGTTTTGGCCTCAACTGCTTTCTGTGGCAGAGAATTCCACAGGCTCCCCAGCCTCTGGGTGAAGACATTTCTCCTCATCTCTATCTCCTTTACACTGTGATCCCCTGGTTCTGGACTCCTTGGTCATCAGGATCATCCTTCCTGTATTTCCCGCTGTCTAGTTCTGTTAGACTGTTCTAGATTTTGATGTTTAAAGTAGCTCTGGGCTCTGCCTTTTCAAGCCTGAATTTGCTCTTGCACAGGTTTGACCTCGGAGGGGATTTACAGGAAGAGTGGCCAGAAATCGAAGACCACAAACCTGCTGGAGATGTTCCTGAAGGATGCCCGCAGTGTGCGGCTGAGGGAAGGGGACCATCAGGTTGATGATGTCTCCAACACCTTGAAGCGTTTCTTCAGGGAGAGTATTGGAGAAAGTGTCTTCACCGACCAGGTCTACCAGGATTGGCTGCACACCTCAAGTACGTTAGCCGTTTCTCGCAGGGCGCCAGATCTGAAACCTGGGCGGTAGCTCTGTTTACAGATGCAAAGTTTTCAAGTGGTTCTACAGAAGGGTCATTGGTCTCGAGACATCAAACTCCGTCTCTCTGCAGAATGCTAGCGGACCTACTGAGTTTCTCTAGCACTTTTGAGTGTTTCTGTTCCAAGCTGAGGGCAGATTTGGCTGGGGTTTGGGCAGAGTAACTGAAGAGGGGGGCAGTGACAGGGTGTAACGCAAAGAGCCACTGATGTAAAATTACTGGCAAACCGAGCCAACATGGAAATGAGGGAAGGTTCTTTAACAGCAGAGTGAGTAGTCGAGATGCGAGAATTGAATTGAGTTGGATGAGCTTTATTGTCACGTAGTCAGATCAGTACCGCGAAAAGTTTACAATTTTATAACGTCATCTTAGTTACAAAGGTACCTAGGTACAGCTTCTTCAGTTAGAGCTCAGTTACGATGTAATAATGTCACCAACACACTGTGCCATCTTAGGTACAGAGTACCTGGGTACAATCTCTCGTTATAGAATAGAGAAATAGATGCAGATGTATTTGTGATGCTCAGAAAGGAATTGGTTGAGTTCAGGCATGGTCATTGGTGACTACAGCCTTGGATTGGGGATTGACAGGAAATAGAATATGGGGGTCTGGTGAGAGCAGGAGCCTGCACACCCAGCCCCTGTTGGGTGGGAGGCCACTCAGCCCCCGTTCGCAAATAGTACTATCCCCTGACCTCCTGAAGGCATTCCCAATGGGAAGAACGCCAACGATGTGGGCACTCAGATGACGAATTAGCCCAAAGGGAGAGCAGGAAAGGTGCGAGCGCGACAACAAAATTGTTGAAATCATTCTCCAAACGGTGTGACTATGGTCTTGATTTCTCAGTGATTCCTGAAGAGAGGCAGAAGATCCTGCAATACCAGAAGCTGTTTGCGTGCTTGCCGAAAGTCAACCGGGCAACTCTCAAAGCCTTGATCAACCACCTCTACTGGTAAGTCTGTAACTCGCACTCCTTCAGAGCAAACGCGATCAAACCAGCAGCACTGACACCGAGACCCACCCCGCCACGAAACAAAGGAGTGGCCACCCAAAGGTGTCATCCCCAACTCCGGGCTCAAGAGTCTAGACATCCATCACGGTGACGAAACAGGTTGGCTCTCGCATCTACTATTATAATGGCCCAATGTTTACTGACACGAGATGCGGAGGTTTCAAGTGCTTACGTTTTCAGCCATCAATACTTTGAGCGGTCTGGATGATTGACACTTTTATTGATGTGCTCGTGAAAGGAAATGTGGAAAGTTATGAATCTTCTTTAAGAGTTTTTTTTATTTACACGTCCTCTTGTCACCTGACCCAGGTTCTAATCCCGCCACGGCAGCTGGTGGAATTTGAATTCAATAAGTATCTGGAATTAAGAATCTAATGATGACCATGAATCCATTGTCAATTGTCAGGAAAAACCCAACTGGTTCATTAATGCCCTTTAGGGAAGGTAATCTGCCACCCTTACCTGGCCTACATGTGACTCCAACTCACCCTCTGAAGTGGCCGAGTGAGACACTCAGTTCAAGGGCAGTTATGGATGGACAATAGAACAGGTCTTGTCGGTGATGTCCACATCCCAAGACCATAAGAAATAGGAGGAGGAGTAGGCCATCAGGCCCATTGAACCTGCCCCGCCATTCAATCAGATCGTGGCTGATTTTTTTTTTTCCTTTATTCATTCACGGAATGAGGGCATTCACTGGCCAGGCAGCATTTATTGCCCATCCCTAATTGCCCAGAGGGTAGTTAAGAGTCAACCACATTGCTGTGGGTCTGGAGTCACATGTAGGCCATACCAGGTAAGGATGGCAGTTTCCTTCCCTAAAGGGCATTAATGAACCAGGTGGGTTTTTCCCGACAATGGATTCATGGTCATCATTAGATTCTTAATTCCAGATACTTATTGAATTCAAATTCCACCATCTGCCACGGCAGGATTCGAACCCAGGTCCCCAGGCCATTATCTGGGTCTCTGGATTAACGGTCCAGTGATAATACCACTAGGCCATCGCCTCCCCTCAATTGTGCAATAATGAAGGGGCCTCTGTAATTGTTGAAGTGACGTTGAAAGGAGTTTGATGATTGCTTTGTTTGTGCCTTTTTTGCCAGTGTCCAGAGACTATCAGACAAGAATCAGATGACAGTGCACAACCTGGCCATTGTGTTTGGGCCTACGCTGTTCCAGACCGACGGACAAGACAATAAGGCTGGCCGTGTGGTGGAGGATCTCATCAATCACTTCATCGACCTCTTCAACGTAAGTCGTGCTCAGTTGGCTGGATGGCTGGTTTGCGATATAGCGTGATGCCAACAGTATGCATTCAATTCCCACATCAGACTCTCCTCCTCAACCTCCTTCCCCCTTGCCTGAGGCATGATGACTTCCACCAGTTAAACTATTACTGGTCATCTCTCTCTGCCTCATGATGGAGCAGCTCTACATTTCAGTAAAGGCCATGGCGAGTTTACTTTTATACCACAGGGAAGACCCTTACTTCGATACTCTCCGCTCCCGCCACCTCTTCACGTCCCCATTACACATCTTGGTCCCCCCAACTCCCTGACCCTCCCCATCTGCCTATGTTTAGGACAAGGGGCATAACATTAATGTCAAGGCGTGACTCATAGAGTCACAGCCTGAGAATTAGGGCCAGACCCTATGGGAGAGATGTTAGGCAGCACAGTGGCTCTGTGGTTAGCAATGCTGCCTACAGCATCAGGGACCCAGGTTCGATTCCAGCCTCTTGTGACTGTCTGTGTAAAGTTTTCACATTCTCCTCCTGTCTGTGTGGGTTTCCTCCCACAGTCCTGTACGGGTGGATTGGCCATGGGAAACGTGGTGTTACAGGGATTGGGTGGGTCTGGGTGGGATGCTCTTCAGAGGGTCAGTGTTGACTTGAGGGCTGAATGGCCTGCTTCCACCGGTTTATGGATCCTATTCTGTGGATTCACTTCTACACTCAAAGGGCAGAATCAGATCAACCATGATCTTATGAAGTGGGAGAGCAGTCTTGATGGGCCGAATGGCCTCATGTTATTGGGGAAAGGAATAAAAAACACAAATAAAAGAGTCACAAATGTGATGAGGAATTCTCCAGGTGGAGCAAGTAGTTAGGATTTGGGAATATACCTCACTGGGAGCCTGGTGGATTTGGGAATACACCTCGATGGGAGCTTGGTGG